CTTGTATAACATGCCAAAGTGGAGTAACTCTGGAATCATGCTTCAGTATATTAGGTTTTGGATTTTCCAGAAAAACTTTGACTGCATTACCGAGATTTTCAAAGTTGGTATTATAAATCCCTTCAGTGGTTTCTTTGTTTCTCAATAAGGGGCGTATCTTGATCTCTAAAATAGCGTAAAGAACAACCCTCCACATTGTTTCGTACGCGGGAATTATAACATTGAGAGAATTTACCAAGTCATCGCCTGAAGGATTATGGAATCCTTTGTTTAATTCGGAAAGATCGGCTGCGTCGGCAACACTTGAGGGTACTTTATTAAAAGCGCATGGAAAACGAGAACGAGCTATTTTTGAGATTTCCTCCATCACATTACGGGTCTTATTTTGCTTTTTATGTTGAGGTCTTGACGATGCTTTCATATTGAAGAGATCTTTGAACAGACATTTTGTTTTCAACATGAATTTCAAATTTTCGTCCTGTCTTGCCGTTATGCAATCGAGTTCTTTAGATATGAGCCAAAGGTTGTTGATCATGCTGGGAACTTCATCGATAACTTTGTCAATGTTCGTCATTCCTAAGTAACCACGGAGAACAACATTTAACGTTATTTGCTGAATCCATGGAACAATTTCGACAACGACACTATCTTGACTCGTTTCCAAATGAGTATAATCGTTTACGGTTTTTAGAACAATGTCTTTAATATTTTGCCACTCTTTATCATCCAATTTGATGGATTTAGCAATAACTTTACGGAATTCGTGACGATACTTATCATCTGGATTGGTAAAGGGATTTGAAATTCCAAAAGTAAAATGCAATCTCTGATTTGACCTTGCCCGAGAAGCAGTGTCGTAGTTATTAAGTACTTGTTTAGCTTTATTCGCATCGCGAATGATCAATTGAGTAGGTTGATGTCGTTGTCTGATTAAATAATGCGCTGTCCCAAGAACAACACAAATTGCAATGATGACTAGATTATTTAATTCCATAAATAAGTATTAAAGCGTTTATTGTTTTTTTCAGGCTTATGATGAACGCCCGTTTATATATATTTTATAAATTTCCAAATCAGTCATTGAATAACATTCGGAGAAACACTCCGGCAAAAACGTTCCGGAAAAACTCTATTGACAATATGACTGAATTCAGCATGTACAATAACAAAAATATTACGGAACTGTAATTATTGACTAAAAAATTTCGTCATACTACCAAATAAAGAGACAAATAAATTATGTTGGGTCGAGTCATACAACATATAGCATTTTAATCATTTTGATTTTCCTTTTAAGCAATTATGAGTTAATGAATACAAGAGTGATATAAATATCTATAAACATTATTTATTTATTTATTTAGTTTTTTAAATTAAGCTCGGACCATAGTCTTTCCTCTAAAATGATAAAGTTAAATAAATAAAACGATTGATTAAGAATCTGCAAATTACCAGTTAAATGTAAAGGATAACTAACGTGATTGTCTTTTTCTCAACATTTGGTAATTCCGGCTTGGCTCTGTTAAGCACTTTCAAGAACGCTTGGACACGAGCACGCATTCTAGAATGCATGTAAGCCTTTGAACATTTGATGTGATAATGTAGATAATCTCGGAATAATTGAATTTGAGAGATTGTTTTCTCTCTCACATCACCTTTAGTGAAGTGGCGAGGAAATAAAACTAACATGGGGTCAAACAAACCAATTAGGTGAAGATTAATCAAAAAGTGACCGTCATACACTTAATTAAATAAAACGCGTATTACCGAATGTGACGTAACCAATATCCTCATTTTTATTCGTATTTTTTAACTCTGGCAAATGTCTAATTTCCAATGGAGGTTCCTTGCTCGAATATAGTACTTGAGGAGCATTTTGTAGATTTGGACGACGACGCGCATCGACAAATTCCTAGGATCATGTGCATTGTCAGTGCATATTTTTAATCTATAATTTTTTCATTGAACTTCAAATGCATCCGCACCTGTAAGAACACTTTACCGAATAGTCTATCCGTCTCCTCTTTAAATAATGTAGAAAAGATTACAGTAACTCTGTCTAGCTGAGCTTGAATATAAATAGCTTCCTGATCTCGGTAATGAATTTGCATGAGATCAGACACTGGATTGGTTTGTTTCTCTTCTTCGAATTTTGCTTGCTGCTCAAACGCTCGTTCAAACGGTTGAGCCAAAAGGTTACGTTTAATCAAAGCTAATTTCTTTACTAATCCTTCCCTTTGTTCTGTTATTCATAATTTTTAATTTAAGTAAAAATAAAAAAAAAAAATAAAAATAAAATTCACAGAATTCTTACTATCACTAACCTTTATCTTCAGGAAGATTTTGTAAATTAAATTCTAAAGTAAAATCATAACCTTCCTCTGTGTTAGAAACACAATATGGACCATACTCTCTTTGTAACATATCCTGAGCACCCCATTGAACAAGTTCTTTGTAACATTGCATTGAGATCGAAAATTTAATCACGGAAGTGGATTCTGAAGTCGAAATATGATAAGAAACGCCATCGAAATCGACCACAATCATATCCAAGGCTGTGGGAATAACGCTATGAACAATAAAACACTTTTATTCAATAATTTCAACTAGATGCGAATAAATACGATCCGCCAAAACATGTAATAACTTTTTTGAAGAGTGACTCACTTCACGATCGGTTGGGTCAGCGTCTCTTCTATTACAACATTATGATAGTCCAACAAGATCATTTTTAAAATTGTCCAAAAGGAAATAGTTGACAAAATTTTTCAAAATGTAACATTTCTGGCGGTGAAGGTAGTACAATACGTTAACTTCAAATGTACCACCTAAGATCTTTTTGACGTTCCGGATTTTAATTGTGGGAAATTTATTATAAACTATAAGAATTAAATGACGAATGCAAGAAATCCACGTTATAAAACCAATGAATTGGAAGTACATGTTATTTTACTATAAAAGGACCAATGCAATTTTTTTTTTTTTTAAATTTTTTTTTTTTTTTTTACGTGTTAAATTAAAAAATTTATATATAACAATAGAGTATGTCAATTCGTTCATCCAACCTTGTTGACATGCGATAAAAAATATGTCTACAGCATCCGGGAGTCAAACAGGTCAGTCAAAAGTTTGGTTTATTAATTCTCTATTTTATTAGTTTTAACGATCAAAGATTTACCATTTCAGGTTTTCACAATGCACCGGTAACGAAAGGTCTCTTAATTTGTATAGGAGGATGCTCATTAGCTGCCTATTTACTTGATATTAGATCCTCATTTCATTTACAGCTTTCACAAAATGAGGTAAATTTTAAATCTCTGTCTCATTTGAAATTTTCAAAACTAATTTTTTTTAAATATCAACAAAAAAAAAAAAAAAAAGTTATGGCGATTAATAACTTCACATAGTATCTTGACTACATCGGGAGAATTTTTCTTTGGGAGTATAGTTATGTATAATCTTAGAGTAATAGAACGCCAATTCGGATCGTCAAAATATGCAGTACGTTATAATTTATATTAACTTATCAAGTTCTGTATGGTTGAATTTGTCTAACAATGTCAACGCTTACAGGCATTCTTGTTCGTATCGTCCGCGTTATCCACAATTCTTGAGGTTGGTGCGCTTGCAATTGGCAAGCGATTTGGGGTAACATTCATGCCCGCAGGACCATATGGTTTTATTTTTGCTACACTTTATCAGTACAATAGAATAATACCATTTACTTATCAATATCGAGCTTTTGGATATATGTATTGTTTGGGCGTTATACCGGTGAGCTTATGTTAGTAATTAAGCGTTGTTAAGTACCTTTTTGACTGATTATAATTTAACTAAAATAATTCTTTTTATAGTTTCTTTATTTTCAATATCCTTCCTCAATTGTCGCCGGCATATGCGGGCTTTTAGTCGGAGCTATTTATAGGAGCGGATTTTTGAAGTTAAATAAACTTCGTTTTCCAGGGTTTATTAGCCGATTCTTTTCAAGATTTATATTACCTTTATTATCAACACCTCCACCTGGGCGCTCATCTTCTCTTGCACTTGATCATGCACAAGCAGCTCAACAAGAGCGAGTCATTAGACGTCATGTTCCAGCGCAAGCGCCCTCTCAACACGTAACACGAGTAAGTTGAAAGTTTAAATCTAAATTATTATTATTCTCAAAATCAATTGTTTTAATTTTTAAACCTTACAGCAACCAGCTATTAATGAAGATAACATTGCCAATTTACGAGATATGTTTCCTCAAAGCTCTCAAGAAGCTATTACGCTAGCTCTGCTTTCTTCCGATAATGATATTAATAGAGCCATTCAATTTTTACTGGATTATAATTCATAGATTCAATTATTATAATACCTAATTATGATATATCTTGTAATAAATATTATATTAAATAATTTTTCGTTAAAGAATCATGACTTTAAGACTTGGTTGTAGTATGAATTTTGAAACTTAGCTAATGCATGCTGCGACTATTATCTGATAATTGCCGCATTTTACAATTCATGCTTTCTAATCATTAGAACATTGATTATGCAAAGAAAATTTGGATTGGCTATACTAACCAAATTCAGTTTATGACACTTCAATCAACACGCCATACTTTAATGGGATTTTGTTTTAAAAAGAAAAATAAATAGGGACTGAAGTTAAAACCCGTGACAAGCCGAGACTTTTTGGTCTAAAGTGATAGTTCGGCGCTCTAGGACTTTTCATCTCTAGTCATGAACTCTGCGTTCGACTCTTGTCATTTAATTCATTCATTTTGTTCTACAGTATAATTTTATTTTGAAAAATTATTTTACTTATTATAAAAAGGTGCAATCTAGTTTAATCAAAAGAATGACCGGAAACTACAAATTTTTTTGATGTTGATTTGCCCAGCCACAATTACGTCACGCGTGAGAATTTTTTTGAACAATAAACATAAAATACGATCTAAATCAATAAAAAAAAAAAAATAATTCAATTTAAAAAATTTTTTTGATTCTTAAAAATGACAACTTCCGAAAGAATTCAACAAGAATTACAAGATTCAAAAGGAGAGTACAAAGAGGCGAAGGAGAACTTGAAGGGAGAACAACAGAGGTTAGACGAAGTAAAGAATAATTTGAGGAAGTTGAAGAGTCAGATAAGAAGTGAAAAAGATGAGGAGAAAAAGAAAAAATTGGAAGGGGATATAGAAGATATGGAAGAGGTGAGAGACGAATTGGAGAAAAAAAACGAAGAGTTGAGGAAAGACTTGAATGACATACGGGAGAAGGTCATGAAATTCCGGGATGCATTATTAGTTGATTTCGGTGAAGGAAAAGGTAACGAACAATTTGCTTAAAAAATACAAAAAATTATTTTTCTTTCGTTTACTTATTTTTGCAATTTTAACTGATTTTTGCTTTTTATTTTTACAAAATGAAAAATATTACCTATCTGGTTATTTATTATGAACAATCTCAAATACGCATGTTCATTTCACTAATATATGGGATATATATTTTTTTTAAACACCCATTACCTTTCTATCTAACTTACCTATACTTTTTTATCTTTGTTTCAATAGGACTGAATAAAGGTATATTTTGATGTTTTACAATTTTTTTATTCAATATTATATAATTTTTCTAATATTAGTCTCCTATCATATCATTTTAAACAGGTATGTTTTTGTTGTTATATTTTGCATTTTGGTATAATTTATCCATTTCACAAAGTTATTATTATTATTCAATATTTTCATGAAACAAAAAATAAAGGTAACTTATCAAAATCATTGAATTATATAAAAATCTTATTTTCCTGTTTCATTCATATTATCGAATCAAGGTAAAAAAAGAAGTGCTAGTGATGAGGACTTGACTGAAGAAAGAAGTCATTTCTTTAAAAAAATCCAACATTTCTATCCTCCTCCACCTGAGTTAGCTGATACTAGAAGATTTAAGGATTACCAAGATGAGAAGGATCCCTTCATCCTAAACTACCGTCCATCTTATGCAGCTGGTCTGCCTGTAACACTCTGCAGTGACATCCTAGCAAAGTTTCAGGATGATGCCAAGGGAAACATTGAGTTGAACAAAGATGATATTATATTTGTTCGTGATCTCTCAAATAAGATGTGTTCCTTTTTTTCAGATGAGAATACAAGAAGAAATTGCTTTCTTGAACTAATGGGTTCATATCTCAACAGAGTGTTTGACATCTATAATTTTGGAAATAATCGAACAACAAATGGTAGCATTATGTTTACCAAAGGAAACTTTCAAGTGCCTCTGTTGAGCTTAGAGGTGAAGCTAGAGATTGGAATGGGAAGTGGGTGTGCATATGTTCAGTCAACTGCTTACTATGTAGAGTTCATCAAAAAATTCAGGAATAGCCCCGCAATTTCTCAATCTCGATTTCCAGTATTTTTAGTATACTTGGCAGGTATGTATAAATAGCATTTTTTTTCTCACTCAAATATATTTCTAGCAACATCTCTATCAATTCAATTACAATTATCTTATAATTGTATATATATTCACTTTCTTTTTTTTTGAACAATTCTATTTAATTTTGCAGGACCATATATGGGTGTAGCTGGAGCTGTGTTTTTGGAAAATCCTGTATGTGAACCTCTCACACCTGTAATGCCCCTCTTCTATCTCCCTCACCATGAAGACATACTATTAGGGACTGCTTATGTGGTCAAGGCTTTGAAGATAGCCCTTACCAATTTGGAGAAATTTTATGACCAGTTGAGTCAACATAGTCAAATAATTACAGGTTATCAACCATCCTTTCCATATATCAACAAAGTGAAAATTGGAGAAACTATTGCCAACGTTATCTATATTAAGAAGACAGAAAATCGTTATGTTTTCAAGCAATAATGGAATACAATGGTGGATTATCATCTCAACATGTAATTATCAAGTTTGCCAAGAGATATTCAGAAGCATGTCATAAAGAATGTCAAACATTAGGAATTGCACCAAAATTGTTTTTCTGTGAACAGATTGCTGGTGGATGGTATGTTGTAATTATGGAACAACTAATGGAACACGATTATTATTTTATTTTGATCAGGACAAAAATCGCTTTATGTTAATGTTGAATAAAGTGATAGAGTCAATAAAAAAAATACATGATTTGGGCTTTGTACATGGAGATATGAGGCTTTCAAACATCTTGATTAGTCCTGATGATTCAATAAAGATCATAGATTTTGATTGGAGTGGCAAGGTAGGAGAAGTTGTTTATCCACCCCTCTTGAATCAAGAGATTGATGTATGGTATCCTGATGTTAAGGCTGGAGAGAAAATCCTACCAGAACATGATTTGTATATATTAAATACAGAATTTAAAAAGTGTGAGTTGTAGAGTGATCTAATATTGACAATTTTATCTATTCTTTTAGTCCAAGCATCTTTAATACTTTTTAAATATATTATATTTAAAAATTAAATTTAAATTTTAAAATTTAATGGATTTTTATAAATATAAGCTATTTTTACTTTAAAAATAACAATTATATTTTTATTATCATTTTTCTGTACAATTTAATGTTGATTTATTAAAATCATTAAATTATATAAAAATCTTATTTTTTTGTTTCATTAATATGGAAAGCGATCAGTAAAAAAGAAAGAAATTTACTTTTTAGTTAAAAATTTTTTTATTGGTTCACTCTACTGATCATGGTTATGTGAACAAAACTAGCTTAATAATTAAAATTATTAGATTTTTTTTTTTTCTATTGATCGCCCCATATTATCAAATTAAGGTAAATAAAAAAGAGTTAGTGATGAGGACTTAACTGAAGAAAGAAATCATTTTTTTTAAAAAAATCTAATATTTTTATCCTCTTCCATCTGATACTAGAAAATTTAAGGATTATTAAAATGAAAAGAATCCCTTCATCCTAAATTATCGTCTATTTTATGCAGCTGATCTGCTTGTAACACTTGCAGTAACATTCTAGCAAAGTTTCAGAATGATGCCAAAAGAAATATTAAGTTAAACAAAGATAATATTATATTTGTTCGTGATCTCTCAAATAAGATGTGTTCCTTTTTTTCAAATGAGAATACAAGAATAAATTGCTTTTATGAACTAACGGGTTCATGTCTTAACAGAGTGTTTGACATCTATAATTTTGAAAATAATCGAACAACAGATGATAGCATTATGTTTACTAAAAGAAACTTTCAAGTGTTTCTGTTGAGCTTAAAGATGAAGCCAGAGATTAGAATGAAAAGTGAGTTTGTATATATTCAGTCAACTGTTTATTATATAAAAGTTTATTAAAAAATTCAGAAATAGCCTTGTAATTTCTTAATCTTAATTTTCAGTATTTTTAGTATACTTAATAAATATATATAAATAGCATTTTTTTCTTACTCAAATATATTTCTAACAACATCTCTATCAATTTAATTACAATTATCTTATAATTGTATATATATTCACTTTTTTTTTGAACAATTCTATTTAATTTTACAGGACTATATATAGGTGTAAATAGAGTTGTGTTTTTGAAAAATCCTATATGTGAACCTCTCACACCTGTAATGCCTCTTTTCTTACTATAAAGATATACTATTAGAGACTGCTTATGTGATTAAGGCTTTGAAAATAGTTCTTACCAACTTGAAAAAATTTTATGACCAGTTGAATCAACATAATCAAATAATTATAGGTTATCGACCATCCTTCCCATTATTACTGTGGAATTCTTCATTCAAGTTAGTCATGTCCTTAAGTTTTTACTTGAGATTACTAACTGCGACTTACTGTGGTTAAGACATTAGGATCTGCCTAACTCTTAACTTTACAAATCTACGCATTAAACTTAAACAAATTTATCAAGTATAAAAACTTAAAAGACGAGATTACAAATAATTTAATTAAAGAATTCAGATGACAAACTCAATTACAAATCATGTGTATGAATCATGTTAGACTATATAAAGATATGAAGAGGTAGAAAGATATAAGTTTTAAATTGATTCTTTTATTAATATATTGAAACTCATATTTGCAAAAGAGTTTACAAATCTGCAAAAAAGTTAATTTACAATATAAGTAAATAGTCTATCTATTTATACAAAATTTCTTTTATTACGACTAACTATTTACTATGCTATAAACTAACTAATTTGATAAATAAAATATAAGTAAAATAAAAATACATAAAATAATAAAAGTATAAAATATAATAAAATTAATAATAAAATTTAGAATATTAAAAATAAATATAATATTAAATATTCCTAGACTTTCTTTACCTTGTAAAATTAGGATTACCATCAGTATTTGAAAGATCTGCAGAATTACGTAGATCTTTCATATTTTCAGAATTCGCAGAATTTTTAATATTTCAGAATTCTGGATTAGAAGATTGTCATATTGCATCATCCACGTGACTTTATTATAATTGGTCAATTGCTTTGTTGACATCATATATCAACAAAGTAAAAATTAAAGAGACTATTGCTAATGTTACCTATATTAAGAAGACAGAAAATTATTATGTTTTTCAAGCAATAATGAAATACAATGGTGAATTATCATCTCAACATATAATTATTAAGTTTGCTAAAAGATATTTAAAAATATATCATAAAGAATGTCAAGCATTAGAAATTGTACCAAAATTGTTTTTCTGTAAACAGATTGCTAGTAGATGATATGTTGTAATTATGGAATAATTAATGAAATATGATTTATTATTTTATTTTGATTAAGATAAAAATCGCTTGATGTCAATATTGAATAAAGTAATAGAGTCAATAAAAAAATACATGATTTGGACTTTACATATGAAGATATGAGGCTTTCAAACATCTTGGTTAGTCCTGATAATTCAATAAAGATCATAGATTTTCATTGGAATAGTAAAGTAGAAGAAGTTGTTTATTCATTCCTCTTGAATCAAAAAATTGATGTATAATATTCTAATGTTAAGACTGAAGAGAAAATCATACCAGAACATACTAAATACAAAATTAAAAAAGTGTGAATTATAGAGTGATCTAATATCAAATAAAGCTTAAAATTTTATCTATTCTTTTAGTCTAAGCATCTTTAATACTTTTAAATATATATATTTAAGGGTTAAATTTAAATTTTAAAATTTAATGGATTTTAATGAATATAAGCTATTTATACTTTTAAAAATAACAATTATATTTTTATTATCATTTTTCTATACAATCTAATGTTAACGAATTTTATAAAAAAATAAAATTCAAAATCACTGGTGATTTAATATTTAAACTGATCATATCATTATACAATTGAAAATATCAAAATTATTTTAATCATTTTGAATAAATTCAAAAAGTCAAGGCCTATTTAAGCAAGTTGTTATCTGATTTGTTTAAGTGAAAGGAATGTTATTGGTATTGCTGAAACTGGGGTAATACTTGATATATTTTGTTTTTATTGATTGATGATTAATATTTATGAATTTAAAATATTATTATATAAAATAAAATAAAGATTTGATTGTGAATTGTGTTTTTACCTTTATTGTTATTTCTGATTGCTAAATATAATACAATATATGAAATAAAAAAAAATTAAAATAAATATAAGAAATTCTATAAATAAATATCATACAAAATAGAAAAAAACTGATGATACAAAAATCTAAATAAATTACAATTCAAAAAAAAAAAAAATAATAATATGAATGTGTATATTAATTAATATAAAGAGATTAAGGAAAAAAACGAGATTAGAAAATTAAATATGTAAAAAAAAAAAAAGAAATAACGTAATAAAATAATCCGTACACAGAAAAAATCAACCTCGATAATAAATTATAAAATTATATATGATATACTTTTTTTTAAAATTATAAAAGCTAATTAAAATAGTCTATTTTTAAGCATTTTAAGTAATATTTTTTTTCCAAACGTTAGAAAATCTATTAGAAAAACCACTCATTCCATTATTGACATTAACTTTGTTAACTGTAGGTAAAGATTTAAATCCATTCCCAATTGCTGAGGAATTCGATAATAATGTTGATGTAGTTGATGTTTTCTCATTATTAATTTTCGATTGTGACGATAAAGTTGATATATTTGAGCTTGAGAAAGTCGAATTTGTTGAAAATGTATTCAAATTTGATGATGCAATATTATTACGACCAGATACGACACCCTGTACTTTTCTTAACATAGCCCATCCTTTCACTTTAACCTCTTGAGCACGTAATAGATAATGATTATTGTGATTTGTTGATTGTTGCGTATTATAAAGTTTCGTGGCTTTTTGTTTTATAACGAAATAATTGTGCAAAATTAATAAAAGGTATCATAAATATTGAATGCTGATGATAATCATTACTAGATGTCTCAATAGAAGACTCACTAGTAGTTTCGATTATACTTTCTCCAAGGGAAAGGTCATCACTATCATAATATTCATATTCATTACCTGATGATGAATAATAACCAAAATCTTCCCCATTGGAATTTATGTAAGAATAATCTTCATCTAATTCATCATCTTCTTCACCATTTAATTTTGCTAATAATCTCGATTCTCTTAATGAATACGCTTTACGCAATACTATTGCTGGATCTTGTATCGGATAGTTCTATTTTTTTTTTATTACATACAATATTATTATTATCATTATTATACTTTTGGTCATAATTAAGTTTTAGATGGACGAAATTTATTACCTGTAATAACTTGATATTATCAGAAAATGAACCTCTTAGTAATTCATCTTGAACACACCTAAAATTTTAAAAAGAAAAGTATTTAATATTTAATTTTAAAATGGAAAGTTTAATCTTTTACTTACATTAACATAGCACAACAAAAATCTAATAAAAATTCAAAGCCACTTGTCGATTCATCATCATCATCACGATCAGCTAAAATACTGTCCCATAATCTAATAACATCGGGTAAAGCAAATTCTTGCGTCAACATAACTGTTAACCAACGGAATGAGTAATAAGTTGGATACAAAGATTTTATCTCCTATAAATAAAAAACAAGATTAAACATCAATATTCCTATGTGATAAACAAAATAAATAAAAAAAAGAATACCAGTATCTTACTAAATCTCTCCATAAATTAAGTGCATAAGTTTTTAATCTTCTGTTTAATTTTTTCATGGTATGACCAATACCAGTTGCTTCATCCGTATCCAAACTTCTAACAAAATGATCCCTGATATGTGCCATCAATAATGTAAACACAAAGAATGAATCTGCTTCAGCATGTGCTATATAACAAATTACAAATAATGGCCAAACGTTAAGATTTTGAAAGCTTCCACAAGATTGATAAATAACTTTTTAATTAAGACAAACCTTTTCCTTGTTCATCAGAATCATTTGCCATAGTATAATAAATAGGACCTAATATTTCATTCATGCCTTGTACATAACCCACGCCAGGATTTAATTTAGCATAAATGAATAATATACGTTCAATGGCTTCCCAATGTAAATCAACTTCGCCATCGTCATCACGAACATTTGATCCATCTGATCTATAACTTGAAGCAGGAGAACAAGGTCTCGTATTTGTACTATGTCCTCTCATACCGAAATCTTTATTTAAATGCTGTACACGTTTGAATATAGATCTACGAGTTGGTATAGGTGTAACAGGCGGAGGAGATGATGTTCTATAGTATAAGTCTAGCGGAACCGGTTTTGGACTAGACATAGTTGAAATATTTCTGTTGAGAATTCCACTTGCCGACGGTAATGATGGATTAGAAATTATTGCTAATTGAGCTTCTAATACGGCAACTTCTGCATCTAATTCTGAAGCCGTAGTTAATATAGAATCACTATAATTACTTATGCTAACAGAATCATCAAAGTCTAATGTTTCGAGTATAGAAGGTGATCGAGCTCCATTAATTCTATTTATTGCTTCAATTTTAGGACTGAGAGGACTTAATGGACTGTGCGGTACCGGCAATTGAAAAAATGCAAAATCTGGTAATGTACGTCTAACATCTTTATCTATTTGTTCTAACATATTATTATCTGCAAAATATTCCGCCCATTTTGAACTTGGTGAAGAATTTAATGGGTGATCATCTGTCGATTCATTTGAATTTTTTAATTCTTCTTCACTTGGATCTACCAATAAATCCCTAATAAAGCTCTATATTATTTGAAGGAAATTCATTTAAGTTAAAAAGTGATTAAAATATATAGAAATAAATAAAATCTCATTGTGACTTACATAATAAGTTGACCTTTGTTCCGCGAGCGTGCTTTGCCACTTTCTTTTATCGGGTGGTAGATATCCTATTAAAATCTAATGAATTATGTCACGTGATGAATTTAAATCGGGGAGAAAAAAAAAGATTCGTCACAAATTTAAAAAAAATTACCTTCCAACTTAATTGTCTAATACCAGGTTTATCAGGAATCCCTATCAATCCAAATTTCATATAAGGGAAGGTTTTTTTTTTAAAAAAAAATCGATAAATTTATATTCTTGATTTTCTTTAAAACTATATAAAAAAGAATTGCTAATTACCTCGAAAACATAAATGTCGAAACTTATAGAGGTCTATAGTAGGTTCCGTAGATATATTTTTTATACTAAGAATATCTTCAAATTGAGCAAGTCTATAAAGAAAATTAGTTAACCTCTGGTTGTGGCCTATTTATTTATTTGTTTGTTTTTTGTTATGTAATCAATCGCAAAACAAAATTCCACAAACCTTTCTTTATAATCCATTTTAAATTTTCTTGGAACCTAAAATAAAAAAAGTCGAGTATAAATTTTTGTTCGTTTCAGTGTTGAATTTCAAGGGGAAATAAAAAGGGGGCCGAATTGTTCAAAAAAAAAAAAAATCAAAGACGCACATCCTTAAACAAACTCCAGTAACTTTCTGTTGTACAAAATCGACCAATACCCTTTTCATATTTCGACCACAATGTATTTTAAAGTTCACGTTTCAAATTCCGCATATCCACGACAGAAAAAAAAGTCTTGTGCATTGTTAATTTACAATATTGGACACATGTTAGTTAATGATTACATTATATTCATCAGCGATCTCGGACAGGACAAATTTAATTTATATTGCTTTAACGTTAATTATTAAATTTCAATCAAATTCCTTGGTTCTTATATAAAATGTCTGTCACAATCCAAGGTACCAATAAAAAACATCGAGGGGAATTGAAGAATTCTAATAAAAATGAAAAAAAAAAATTCCAACACTATATATACTAAACCGTTTGTAGTCCGACCAATCACGTATCGACTCAATTTTTGAGTGGCAATAGCCTTTCGCTTCGCTCCGGACTGATAACACGTGACGAATACATTATCTATTATTTTGCCTAAAGAACTAACTTCAACGAACAATATCTCAATTCTTTACTCAAAAATGATTTTTCGATTAATTCATTACTGGACAACTAAATTCATTACTGAAAAGGCAAATATTATATTGTCTGAAATTCTCTTTGAATTAACCAATTTAATATAATTTATTTAAATATATATATAGCTATTAGAAAGTCCAGCATTTCACAGGTTCGCTACGAGAACGCACACGCATATTTCAAAAATATCAGAACAAGGTATGAATCATTTTTATAAAATTACATGAACCCATTTTTTTTACAAGTTTTTTCAAAAATATAGCTTCTCCATATATTGATGAAAGTGCAAGACGTACAGAAATATTTATGAAAAGCTTTAAGGAAAATTTAAAACGTGAAGCTGAAAAGGCTAATTGGCCAAAAGTCTAACGTGTTAAAATAAATAAAGTTGTTTTCCCATATAATTGAATCTTAATTGAGCCTTATTTTTTTCACTGGCTTTTATTTATTTTAAGTAATAGAATTATTAATTGCAATATTAAAATAAAACTTTTCTATTTTTTTTCTTTTTTTTTTTTTTTTTTTTTTCCTCTATTAAATAATATAAAAATTTTACCTTTTGAAAGTAAAATAAAATAACTTACCAAAATTAGGAATAATTAACAGAAAGATTAATTCAAAGGTCATAGTTATTTATTTTAATGAGTGGTTGCCAGACATCCTGGACAATTATGAATAACCTCATGAACGAAAACATCACAATCGATGCAAAAATGTTGATGGCATTTATTGCATTTATATCGACCGCTATTTTCAATAGGTACCGCACCTCCACGTACTCCTAATAAAGGTGGAAAAGGAATTTGACACGAAAAGCAATGTGTTGAAGATACACTACAAAAGAAATATAGGGTTGATAAAATGAATCTAGCACAGATAGATAAAAAAAGATGAAGATGTCAAAACCTATTGTTCCATGGAACTTCTACGAAATTATTTATGGGAAACAAATGATGATATGATCTTGCCAAATGTGGACTTGATACAAGTGTAAGTTCACACACCGGACAGTCCGTTGGCAAATCGCAAATTTTTGAATGACATCGAGCGCAAATGAAGCCACCAATTGTAGGTTTTGAATGACTGTTTTGATGAAATCCGTTTCGTAAAAAATTTGTTGGTTGACTTTTCCAACATTAAAGAAATCGAAATTTTTTTAGCAAAATCATACCATGCACAAAGTGAAGGCGATGCATCAGTAACACTACTTGGAAACCCCATTATAACCAATTCCGCTTTATTTTGAGTAGCTGAGACTGGAGGCGGTGGTATGATTTCAAAGAGTAAATCTTTAAAATGTGCTTCATTCAGCACTACTCCATACGTACCTACAAAAAATGTTTGGATAGAATTTGTATTAAAATAATAATTAAAATAATAATAATAATAATTCTTGTAAATTAACTTACCCTTGGTTTTTTTGCACATGAGTTTACATATCTGTACCTCAGCGGCTAATCCAACTACTGAAACACGAATATTTTCATTTACCAAATTATCTATTGTATCGTAAATATCTCCCGGATCACAGGTTGTAAGAGATCCCATAATGATCAATATTTCTCGTGAACCATGAGATGGGACATGACTAAATATGATAGTATCGAATTAAAAAAATACAATTATTTTTTTCTATATCATTATCATTATTATTTTATTATTTACATTAAAGTCGATCTTGCCATCTCTAAAGAATTTTGTAAAGACGGTTCACCGTCAGCATCTGTATTTTTCTTATTTTTTAAAGCACGTATATTATTCATTGGATTTCCTATATAATATCAAATAAAAAAAATTAAAAATTAATTAAATGAAAATTAAAGAAAAAAGTTATTTTTAATTCGTATAATTTATCATCAATATTACAAAGCAAGAGGCTGGCATGTTACCAGTCAGATCGGAAAGTTTTTCTGCATAGCCTCCCTTTGTTACAATTATGCCAAGTTGAGAAATCGGATTTTGATCAAAATACTCTAGAATAAATTGCTCAGCATATAAAAGAGTTAGATCTAATCGAGATGGACGAAGATCTTTCTCCATCATTGCTTCGGAAAGATCAACGATCAAGAACATGTGTCGTATTATCCCACGTCGAATCGTTGCCGTATCTCGAAAAAGCCTACAAAATGCTGATGGTTTAATTTTATAGATAGAATAATTATTTTAATATTAAACAAATGTCTTACCTTTTCCTTTTCCGATGTTGAAGATTTTCGACAGTTCGTTTCAGACTACCATCCTCGTCTTCCTGTAGCACGTCCCAACTACGCTTATATTCTTCCTCCCAAGCATACCCAGTTTGTTGAGTACTATTTTGAATTTCGTCGTCTACGTCGATGAACTCTTCGGTTATTTTTGCCTGTTTATATTTGTATTGCTTGGACATTTTGTAAGTAGAAAAAGGTTAGGTTAAAAAAAGTAATGGAGAAAGTATTTATAGTAATATACAAAATCACGAGCTATTTTTTTCCTAATTCGTAATTTGTGACTATGTTTGATCGTATATCTAATTCGATTTAAAGTTAGTAACTCTCAATCTATAAAAAATTTCCTATCATATAGTATTTCTTAACAGTAAAATTCGGTTAGCTTAAGATTTTTTTGAAAAAAATTCCTTTATAGATGTTAATGTATTGTTACATACTGAACGCATTAGATAGGATTATGATTAATAAAATAATATCACTTTTTTTATCAAAGGTGTTTATATCAATCGAAATAATATCATCTTATTATAAGGAAAAATTTGGAATTAAATGTTTAATATAATACATTATTTCTATTAAAATAATAATTTATAATCAGATTAAAGATAAAGAATTTATGACTTTTAGCTGAAAATTATGTATTATACAAGTAACACATTTATTTAATAAAACCTTTACTATTAATCTTAATAATTTAAATGAAACTACTTATTAATGATATATACAATTATATATTGAAAAAAGTATTTATAATATTTAATTTTCCTATAAGATTTATTAATAATTTATATAGAATTTCTGAGAATATAATATGAATTATTTATTAATTAAATATAATATTATATAATTTAAAATAAAATTATTTATTATCAAGTTATTAGTTTAATCTTTTCATATTGATTTTATTTATAATTTTCAACTTTAGAAAATTCTTATTATCTTAACAATATTTAAAATTTTTAAATCAATTCTATTTATCAAATTTAAAACTTAGAAATTATTTAATTAAACTTGATAATAAACTTAAAATCAAGTTAGTATAAAGTTCACAATCAAATTTTAGATAAAAAAATATATTAAAAAAAAAGTATTTTATAGTTTATAATTATTTCTTTATTAAATACTTTTTAGAATTTATTTAAAATTTAAGATTATTAAATCCAATTTTTAATTTTAATAAAAATAAAATAATTTATGCAAAATTATTTTATAATAACTTGTGAAATATTACTTAAACTAGATATTATTACTATTTTATAACCTGAATAATATAGATATAATTTAGCTATCATTTTATAAATTGAATAACATAAATATAATCTGATTATCATAATCTAAAAAACATACTATAGATATAATCTGATTATTACTTCATAACTTAGATGATACTGATATAATCTATTATTATTTATAATCTAAATAATACAAATATAATCTGGTTACTAAATTATAATCTGAAAATACAAATATAATATTATTACTACTTCATAATCTAATATTTATAATCTAATTATCTTGATATAATTTATCTTAATAACTTAATTACTACTTCATAATTTAAAGCTCATTTATTTTTTAATATTTTAATTATTTCTTTAGATCTTTTTACTATTAATATTTATATATTAAAATGATATAATTATCATTCATAATCTAATTATCATATTACCTTATGATCTATTTATTTTTGATTTCCTTTTGTCTTAGCCTTTTTTTGTTAAGAAGTTATTTATATATTAGTTTATTTTACATTCTTTTATTATTAAAAAATTATCTATGTTAATCTACTTTTATGCCTATTTTATTATCAAGGAGATATTTATATATTTACTTGCTTTTATGCCTTTTTATTATCAAAAAAATATCTTATTAAGTATTAGATAGTATAGTAATTTTATGATTAATTTTGACAATTATAATAAAATTATAGCAGATCTTTAAGTATATAATTTAGAGATACAATTCAGCATAATGTTAGTATTAAAGAATTGCTAAAAAGCTAGAGAAATCACCAATTTTAGATTACTTTTATATTAGCTTTAATATTAAGTTATTGCATCTTAAATTAATTAAAAATTATAGAATAGTGTTAGTTAAAATAATTATTAGTTTACTGTACTTTGAATTCTAAACACTTTCTTATTACTTTTTCATTATTTTCAAATATTCCAAAAAATTGTAATAAATTTTTGTTATTAACTTATTATTACTATTTCACTAAAAGAACTAGTAATTTGTCTATTATGCTTTTTGAGATTATTAAATTATTTTATTTTTTCTTGATTAATATCACTAATATTACTAGTAAAAGAATAGTAAATTCTAAAAAAATCAAATCTTTTCTATATTATTCTTATGATATATATACTATCCTATTAAATTATCCAGTCAAGCTTTTTTTGATTATTTTGAGATCTGATATATTAATTAATAAAAATTTTTTAAATAAATGCTTTGATTCTAATAAATAAAATTTATTTATTTATTTTTGTTATAATGTATATATCAAATTTGACAATAAAAATAAAAATAATGATTAATTTTATGTAGTAATAATTTTTAACTTTTTTACTATGCTATTAAAGTATAGAAAAATTATGAATTAAATGAATTTGAGTGTGAAAAAGTAATTGGACTTTGGATAGGAAGAAGGACTTATGAAGTTATTAGTCATATTTTAAAAATTTCAAAAAGTATTATTATAGACACAATTTCTCAATACAAAAATCTCAACAATAGATTAATAGCTAAAAGAACTAGAAGACTATATTCTATAAATAATAATAATTATTATAACCTTTCAAAAATTGTCAAAAAAAACAATTGACTTTTTCTTGAAGAAATTCAATAAAAATTTAATAATTCATAAAATAAAAATATTTCAGCTGTAACCATTTGTAAAAACTTTTATCAAATAGGGATTAATTTACAGGTTTCTACACTAAAACTACTTTTTACTGAAGCTTAACGTAAAAAATGATTGTCATAGTATATAGAATAATAAGATTAGTCAATTAGTCAGTGAAAACTATCATCTGGAGTGATAAATCCAGATTTATCATTTTTCAAAATGATGATCATGTTCGTATTTGACAAAAAGATAAAATCTGATACAATATTGAGAATTTAACACCAATGTTTAAACATGATAGTAGAAGTATTATTGTATGGAGATGTTTTTCAAGAAAAGGATTGGAATCATTAGTAAAAATAAATGGTAAAATAAATAGATTTGGTTATATTGATATTTTAGAAAAAAATTTATTATCATTCATTTATTCTAAACATCATAAATAGCCTTAAGAATTTTGTTTAAATATCAAGTAACGGTTTTGGCTAAAGCGATCACTAAGACTCCTGCTCCTACTGCTCTTATACATTTCAAGATAATAATGCTTCTGTTCATACTGTAAAGGATGTTAAAAATTAGAATATATAAAAAAGATTAAGGTTTCTTTAGATTAGCCTTCTTAATCTCTAGACTTTAATCCTATTAAACATTTGTAGTATGAACTAGAATAAAGACTTTAAAAACAATCAGGATATCCAAAAAATTTATATAAACTCGAAAAAGCATTACAAGAAGAATGAAAAAAATTCTATCTAAAACTTATATTAATTTAATTGAAAGCATGCTACGTCAGATAGAAACATGTATTAAAAGTCAAGGATGGTCAACTAAATATTAAAAATTTATAATATTATAATAAAATATAATTTTTTAAATTGATTGACCAGATACTTTTAATATGGTAATATATATGTTATTATATAATGAATATATATATAAGACATGCTGTAACAAAACCAGACAAAGTTAACATTTTATTATGTAACATAAATAAGAGGCTAATTATGATGTGGCTGTAAAATTGACAATGACGTTTTGAAAAGTAATAATAATAATAATGCTCATTCATAACTTATAGACTTATTAATTTTAATGTTCACTTTATTATATCAGAATGTGATGAATATAAACCATAACATGATGAATATAGAATTATCCCTATATAAAAAATATTAATATGAAACTAATTTATATTAAATTCACTATAGAACTAAAAAATTATAACACCATTAGAAGCATTCTAAAGAAAGCCTAAAGAGAAAAAATTGCTCTATATATTTTTAAAATCAATAATACTCAAACTCTTCAGAAATATCTAAATAAAGAAAAAATTACTTATGAAATTTATCAAGAAGAATGAAAAATAGTAAACTATAAATGAACATTAATCCCAATTTATGATAAACTAAGAAAGAAACAAAAATTAGAAACATAAAGCAATATCTATTTCTTTAATAATTATCAATAAAAATCAAAGTGTTTATTTTATCTAATACTAAAGAAAAACAATTATTATTTTTATTGACTATTGAAATAGGTTTTAATTTAAATGAATAGAAAATATCTTCAAATTACTTTTTTATTTTCAATCAAGATCATTTTTTAGTCTCTTTAACTTTAATTTGAGCAACTTGACCATTTACATTCTGTTGCCCTTTCAATAAATTATTTTCCTCTTCTAATTGTTTAATTTTTTCTTTTAAATACTTTATTTTATCTAATAACTCTTGCTTCTGTCTTTTACTTTACTCCTCAGACTTTTCTTGAAATTTAGCTATTTTTTCTCTTTCAATTTTTAGTACCTTTTCAGTCTCAGTTAATTGTTCTTGTAAGGAATTTATTTGTCTTTTATAAAAAGCAAACATACTTTTTCTTTTATGAGGCAAATTAGGAAGTTCCTTCTCTTTTAGATTTTCATTTCTTTTAATATAACAATAAACAACTTTATTAGTAAGATATTTAATGTCAGATTAAATTCTTAATCAACCACATCTACTACACTTTGATAACTCATCATTTTCAAATCTTACCTTACAATTTTTACAAATAAAATCGTTTACTAATATTTTGTTAGTAATTTGATTACAAGTTTTTATTTGATAAGATGCTTTATTAAGACCAAAGCAAAAATCACATACTAAACCATCACTACACCAATCTTCTAATTTTAAAAGTATATAGGTTAGATTTTTTATATATTAACAACTGCCAATCTTTACCTCTATCTTAGCAATAATTTTTTGTTCTAGTTCTTATTTTTCAGATTTAACTTTTTTTACTAAATGTTGGAATTTAGTTTTTACTTTTCTCTTAAAGATTTTGAATTTGCTTGACAACTTAGATAAAGATTTATCTAGATAAACTTTTAAACTGATTTGTTTTTCTTCTATTAGTCTTTCATTAAAGATTTTCAAGGCTCAATTATTTTCTTTTGATTGCTCTACCAATTTCATATTTTCTACCTTTTCTTCAGCAAGTCTTCTAAAAAATCAAGTAATATAGTTTTGATACTATCAAGTTCTTCTTCCAGTCTTTCTCTTTCTTTTTTCTCTCATTCATAAGCATCTCACATAGCTTTAATATGAGTTTGTCCTTCACTTCAAGCTTCTTTAAGTTCCTTTTGTAATCACTTAATATGCTCTTCTAATTCCTCATATAAGTCAAAAATCTCAACAATACCTTACGATAATGTTCATTAAATCAAAATTGTTAATAGCAAGTTTTTTTTTTATTAAAAAAACTTGCATGTTTACCATTTTTATGATAGCTTTCAAGAGTTTCTAAATGATCTAACTACGTTTTGTGTGAAATTTTAAACAATCAATGTCTTTTCTTGTTTTTAATGATTTTTCTGTTATCATGATTTTTCCTTTATTTTATTTATTCTTTAATATACTTATATTCTTTTTATGATGGAATATTAAGTATATAATTATTTTAATAATTTTATTCATTACCAGTATAGATTAGGCTTGAACAAGTAATATCTTTAAATTCATCTCTGATAAATAGGTGAATATTATAATAAAGATATTCTTGTCTTTTGTAATCCAAAGGAGGAGAGGTTAGTACTAGGATAGAAAAGGATTTAATTTCTTTGGTAATTTCAAAAATGTTTACTTTTCTGATTTTCAATAAATTAAATTCAGTAAAAACACTATTAGCAACTAGCTGAGCTTTGACAACTTCAGGATTAGCTGTCTCAAAAATAAAATGCTGATATTTTTGTAAACCACTCAATTTTTTAAAGAAAATTCCTAACACAGAATTAAGATCTAAGTATTGAAAGCCTTTTCTGTTGCCATAATGCTAAGCTTTGTTTAATCCTATTATACTCAATCTTTTCACAACTTTAACAATATGATCTACACAATCTACAGTTGTTTTTCGGTAAGTTTCTTAATCAGTTCAAAACTATCATCACACTTAAATTTAGTATGTCCAGACACCATAAAATTAAGTTCAACACTTTCGTAATAACTGCAAATTACTAAATATAGATAAAATTAAATGATAGTATTATTTTTATTCTGACCGCTCACGTTATTATAAGTAATCTTTAGACGTTTTTCATCTTTATTCAATTTCTTTATTCTATTGAATACCATACTCAGTATATCATTAGGACCTTTCCTATTATTTCATCTTCATTGAGAACATAATTAATTTATTCGCGTACTGCTTTCTTCATCTTAAATACTAAATAAATGCACTTTACGCAGACTGAGATAATAAATCTTACTTACCTGTTAATCAAAATGGGGCACGTGAATGTTTTGTGTCTAATCGTAATTGTAATGAGCAGTCGCATTAATACTATAATAATCAGCTTTACCTCTTGTTTTAAAATGCTCATCTACCAATTTTCTCTGTTGTTCTGCTAATTTCGTATTTTTGTTATAATAGTTTCTCTTTAACTTAGCTTTAACTAGATGTTCTTTGAATTTTTTTAGTAAGTCTCTTGCTTCTTCCTCCTTACGAGTATTATACTGTAAGCTATTCTGAAAATGTTGGCATGTGTCACATAAATCTGTTCTTGGACTTATGATTTGAATATAAGACGTTAATTGATACCATAACTTGCAAAACGTGTCATATTTTAACAATTTCAATATGCTATCATTTTTAAGATCTGCAATAAAATTATGATAGACCAATTTATAATTCATTTTCACTAGCAAAAGTATAAGTAATTGAGTAATTCGATTGACGTTTCTACTGGAATTTGGTAATCCATGTATTTCAGCATAATTTTTGAAAAAATTCTTCACAGCGATAGCAACAGTTATGTCAATGGTTATTTTGGTTTTTCATCATGACATTCGTTTGATATTACCATAAACACGCGATATTATACCATTTGTTGCCAAATGATTTCTAACATTTTTGAGATGACTGTGACCAATTCCCAACATATTGAGATATGTTTTCTGATAAAGCAGCATATTGCGATCTCAATAATAAAACGTTCTTTTATTATCACGCATTTTTTTTTAAGACGTCAAATGACAGTTATTTCTCCGCTATTTATTGCCTTCAGCTGAACCATTAAAAATATATCTTGCTCGGGTTTAGAGAGAACTTGAAATGCCTCACGTAACTCAGCAAATTTTTCTTTCAGAATCTTTTAAGAGCAATCACAATTATAACCTATCTCTAGGAAGTGCATGGCATTTTCATATTCAGTCGAATCATTATAATTATAATTTTTCATATACAAGTAATCCTATATATTAATTTTTATATTATATTATTATTTTTGTTCTATAAATATGTCATGAATGTCTATTAGGTCAACATGAGATTAGTTACATAGGTATGGTTAATATACATATAAGAATGTGCTAAATGAATCAAGAGATTCTATTGAACAAAATCAAATTCTTCACAAATGCAGTATCTCAAAACAGCAATAGAATATTACTCATAAAATCAGATTATATATAACTACAGGCTAGAAAGACATGTGCTAAAAAATCAAGGTCATTTACAGTTGAGGAGAGGAAAATATCAGAAATGTCTCCATCTTAATCTTATAAGATTAATATTAATGAAACAATATTATGAACTGTTACTTAAAAATAATGAAATCAAATTTTATGTTAGATTTTATTAATAAAACATAGCTGTCAGATAGTCTTGTTAAACTGTTATATGTTATACAGTCTCAGCACAATTTAAAGTATAGATATCTAAGTTGCTTTTGTTTGACTGGTCTATACTAAACCCTTGGCAACTGCCTGACTTTCAAGTAGGTTATTTCTTATGATTTTTAGTATTGTAGTTAGTATAAGAATATTACTTTTTATTCTAGTTGACTGTATACCAAAGGTGCCATCCGTTTGACCTTCTGTACATCTTCTTTATCCGTGTATAACTTAATAGAATCAGGTTATACATCAGCCAAATTCACCAATAGCTGACTTTTTTTTGCATTGATACATCTAAAAATATTATCAGAAATGTCAAATATTGTCAATAATGTTTGGTATCTCATTCGACATATTCTATTTTCATTTGATTCTACATACTCATCTTTAGACTTTCCATAGTCTTTATTCTTGCCTTTTCTTTTTTTCTTACTTAATCCTACATTTTCATATGTAAGCTTTTCTTCATCTCCTCGAAGTTCTATTCCTGAATGTACAATCTGAAAATCAGGATTAGAAGCATCCAAGAACATATATAGTGATAAGAATGGTAAATATGGTTTTTTATATTCAAGCCTAGCATATACAGGAGTTAGCATAGATGCAGTACTATTGGGAAAATTACTATCCACACTTTTTTCTTTGTGATTCTTGATTTGAATGAGTACATATGAAAACCTGACTGGAGCAAGATCATCATTTTCAGTACTACTGAATAAGGGAAGAATTATGTCAATACCAGTCTGGTTTCTTTTATATAATATTGCAATACAGCGATAAAAAAATTCAACTAATTGCATTCTGGTTAGTGTGTAAGTGCATTGAATAAAATAGTTAAACTGTAATCGAAGATTGAGTAGTGAATTTTCGCTTTTAATATTAATTATATTTGATTTCACTTTAGTAAAGTTGTTATTGTCCAAGAGTGAAGAGAGAAACTGTTTCAGTGTTATTGACCTGGAGAATACATTGACCTCTGGTGACATTAGTGACATTGGTGACGTTAGTAACGTTTTTTGAGTCTTCAGTGATGCTTTGTCTCATGCTTAAAGCAATAGCAGACATGCAACAAGTTCTTCACGATAACCTACTTCCACAACACTCTCTTTCATAGCATTAATTAGTGGTAGTAAAAAGTATTTCTATTGCAATACATCCATACAATTTATGACTTGTGCAGCAGCTTCAATCATTGTAAGATCAGAAGGATAATTTGTGATCATGGTATATCGATCCTCTAAAATGTAATAACAAAAGCGCATGTATGATGCAATTATATCAGATGCAATCTGTGACTAGAGAGTAATATCAATGCATGCACGACATTTCAATACAGCAAGTACTTCCTCTAGCTGAACTTTTCGTTCTGGCTCACACCATTTTTTGAAATCTAATCCACCCACAAGTTTCAACTTCACAATGTTCAAAATTTTATGTATCTCAAGAATAGGGCAGTCATTATCGTCTTTGGCACTTTTTAGTAAATATCAGAAAGGAAGTCTATATCGCAAGAAGAATTTAGGATTCTGGGACTCACAGATAGTTTTGGGTATAATATTGACATTGACATCTACTGTATCAAGCAAATTGAACTGAGGAAAAAGTTTTAAGCCTTGTTGGGTCATATAGAATGATATGTTCTTATCCTTAATTGACGAGAAATTTGAGATCTGTGATGTTATATCTGTTAAAAACTGCAATAACACAGCTATTGTCAGCTACTATAAGTAGGTAATAACATACTTAACGCAAGAATGTGAAAGCTGTTCCTTTCCTTGATTTTATTTAATTAGCGTTCTAGCTTCATTAAAGGCAAAAATGATATACAGAGAGAATTCTTGATCAGAAAAAATTTTCCTGAGATTCTGCAAAAATAGTTTTCATAAATCTTCAATTTTGAAACAAATTCTGTTTCACGTCTTGCCTTATCCTTTGATGCAATATGAGACTACTTCTTCTGTAATTCATCCATCTGGTTCTTAATTCTGAGTTAAAACTGGTAATCTTGCTAATTCAAAAACTCCTCTGGTAACACATCACACTTGGTTAAATGTTTAATGCAAGCATACAGGTAGACAATATACTTGGCCAGCGATTATCCTAACTGTCCTTCACCAACGTCTTCCAGATTTTTTGCGATCATTGATTATTCAAAATAACTACCTGATTCCAGATCTTGTAGATAACAATAAACCACGTACACATTTCCTGTTCTACAGAGAAGTGACGACTTTCCAGATGTTGATGCCTGCACAAGAGCAAAGTACGCAGTATAGTAATTTTCACAATCTCAATTTTGCAAGTATTGCGCATCATGCTTTAAAAAAGCCTTAATCAATCTCCAGTCTTTATATTCTTAATTAAAAGTATTCTGAACTGCAACTGTTTCTTTTGCAGAAAATCTGAAGTCTGAATCCATTCGAAGGATAGTAGAAAATGAGTGGATAATTATAGGCAGAGCGAAAGTACAAAAAATTACAAACTTGCTTAGATAAAATATACTCATTTTCTGATTCTGTTTGTATGTTTAGCTTATTCTCAGTCTGAAATAACAAAGGTCAAAAATAAAATCAAAAAAAAGCGCGAGATAGGAAATGTTAAAAGCAGGACTGCAACAGCATTCAAACTATTCTTTCTTTATTGCTCCTACTCTACTTAACCTAAATGTATTATATCTTACTTATTTGCCTTTTAAACTAGTTTACGTATAGTGAAACAATATTTGCTTTATGTTTCTAATTTCGTTTCTTTCTCAGTTCATCATAAATTAGAGTTATTGTTCATTTATGGTTTACTATTTTTCGTTCTTCTTGATAAATTTCATAAGTAATTTTTTCTTTATTTAGATATTCCTGAAGAGTTTGAGTATCATTGATTTTAAAAATGTATAGAGCAATTTTTTCTTCTTGAGCTTTCTTTAGAATGCTTCTAATGATGCTGTAATTTTTTTGATTCCATAGTGAATTTAATGTAAATTAGTTTCATATTAATATTTTTTATATAGGGATAATCCTATATTCATTATATTATAGTTTATATTCATCACATTCTGGTATGATAAAGTGAACATTAAAATTAACATGTCCATAAGTTATAAATGAGCACTATTATTATTATTACTTTTCAAAACGTCATTATCAATTTTACAACTACATTATAATTAGCCTCTTATTTATGTTACATAATAAAATGTTCACTTTATCTGGTTTTGTTGCAGCATGCCCTATATGTATGTTGTATTTATGTTATAAAAAAGTAAAAAAAAATTAAAATAATCAAATTTCTTTATAATACTAATAACATTAATAATATCTATCAAGAAAAGTTTCTTATAATCTAAAATTATTAACGATTTTATTATTTATATAATTAATTTCTTTTATTAGTTTTTTCTAATGATATTAATAATAAGTAAATTATTTTATATTACTTTTATTTATATCTAATTTGCTTAAAAGTATTTATGTTGAAACTAACTCAATCAGCTTTTTTTGATAATATTATTCTATTTTACAGCATTTTTTAATATAAATATTATAAGTATTATAATTAAAAAGTTAATATATTACATTATTGTAAGGTATATATGAAAAAGAATTCTAAAAAGGTTAGATTTGAATTAAAAGACTAGCTTTAATCTTTTATATATTAATTTCATAAATTTTTTAATTGAGAATGTTCTTTCTTAGAATAATTATTCCAATATAAAGTAGATCAAAAGTTTTATATAAAAGAATAAGAATTTTATATAACTTGAATGAATAAGTTAATTATATTACTTTATTATCTAATATCTAATTTCGTTTATGTTTAGCTTTATTTTTATTAAAAAAATATTATATTATTATTTTAATATATAGTATATTAATACTTATAAAGTCAAAAAGTTACAAGACAAGATTATTTTTTAATATTTTTCATAAACAAATCATTCAAATGACTCAGATCTTCCTCAAAAAAAAAAACAACACATTTATAGAATGTAGAGATACCTAATTACACAGGTTGTTTGATTATAAAAAGGTTGTATATTCAACAATTATCTTTTTAAATATCATATTAAATTCAAACCAAACCAATTTTATTATTATAATTTGAATTATTCATAAAAAATATACAAGTTCTTATTTCAAATTAAAATTAAAAAAAAGAAAATTTTTATATTTATTTATTTATAAGATTATTAATTATTTTATATAAATAAAAAAAAAATTATACTTTTGATAAGATTGATGTTTATTTATAATCATTAGATACTAAAAAATAATTTTTAATCACTCAATTGTTTGACTTAATATAATTCAACTTGATTTAACCTAATATTTGATTTGAATATTTTATTTAACTATTATATGGGTTGATTGCTAGGAAAATCAGGTTCCGGGAATTTTTTAGCAAAATTGAAATTTTTATTGCATTTTAGTTTTTGATGTTATTAGATTAAAATGTATTAAGCTCTTTATTTTAGTCAAAAATTTCTCGGAACCTGATTTCCTAGAAACACTCCCATATATACTTTAATTTATCGTTATAAAAAAAAAACTTTAAATATATCATATAAAATTAGGTAATTAATTTAAAATTTTAATTTTTTTTATTATCAAATCAAAAAATAATTGTTAATAATTTTAACATTAATTTTTTATAGTAAATCTTCATAGTTGGTTATCCATTTTTAGTAATGACGTGTAAGATGATCGCCAGATAGCAGAATATTTTCGTGTCTAGAAAGATCAATTCATTTTTCTTCATGTATATTTTATAAATCATTTTTACTTAGGACATGGGAGCTAAACAATCACTTGAAACACCTATAATAATTTATAACGAGCCTAATATTAGAGTAAGTAAAAAGGTTTCATGCTTGAATAATTAGACATTTATATTAAAAAATCTTTTAAATATAGTTTTCTCATGGTCTAGTTGATCAATTACAACTCGAGAAGGAACGAATGGTAAAATTTTTTTTTTTTTGTTCGATTTAAATTCTCAAGTTTCAGTCAGATTTTTTAAACTTCAACTTAAACCTTTATTATATCGAGATAGAAAAATGCCAAAAATGAATCAACCTACCCTTCAGATATTCCACCTGTTGGTGGTCAAGTACTTCCTGAAGAATTAGAAAATATAATTAAAGTGCGTGTAGAGAATGAATTAAGACGAATTCGTGAAAGAGAGGATGAAGTTGCAAAACGTGCTCAAGAGGAACTTTTTAAACAAAGAGCTATACTTGGAGATAGTGGTGCTAATACTGTCGCTACTGAACTGGATACAAATGAATTGATTGATAGAATTCAAAGGTATTGTCTCTTTCAATTCTTTTGATATTAAGCCGTAAATATGCTTTTGTAAGATTTAAAAAAAAATTTATTTTTTTAGGAAGTATGAAAATAAAGTTTCGTCCGAAGTAATCGAACAACAACGAGCTGTCATTTCTTGTTATCAGTAATTTATACAATTTGAATGTTTACATCTTTTATCGATTATATTAAAGACTTTGAATAACAATTCTTTCTTTCTTTTTTTTTTTTATAGAAATAATAGTTCACGAACTCTTGATTGTTGGGAGGAAGTACAAAAATTCAAACGCGTTACTCAAGAGGCCATTCAAGTAAGTACATACTTTAAACTTTGTAAACTGTATCGCAAATTTCTATTGTCCTGATTTATATTGTATTTTCTATTATAGGAATTTGTTACTTCTCATCAATAATCCAATCAATATTTATATGAGTACAAATTTATTTTAATAAAAAAATAAGATTTTCTTGATGTCTTAATAAAGACAACTACTTAATAACCTGTTGTAAATTTAGTTTTAAATTATATATCACCAAATAATTGTTTATAAATATTATGGCGAGCTCTTGTCTATTTTTATTAATTGTTCAGAAACTTATTTAATAAAAATTTCAAAGAAATTTCTAATTGTAACAAAAAAAAAAAAAAAAATTTAATGAAATATTGTTTAATGAAGGGTATAATAATTAATAATGAGCTACTGATGCAAAAATAAAAAAATATGAAAAAAAAAAAAAAAAAAAAAAATTGCAAAGAAGCGAGAGGATGAGATCCGAAAAAAAAAATGAAATTTTACCGTCGTTTTTTTTTTACAATTGGTTACCATAAACGTAATTGCAAACATAAACTTATGAGTTCCTCCTTCCTTCGCCCTTTCAGATAGATTAAGAAAAAGTTCTTTATAGCATTATAAAAGCGCACCAAATCTACATATTAGAAGAACGTGATAGAAACGCGTATCCCAAAACAATAGCGGTCAGTACAATGGCTACCGTAAATACAATACTACCATTACCACCGCCACCCGAACTATTATTTTTCTCACCACTACCCCGTTTATTTTTATTTTTACGAGGCTTGGAATTTTGTGGAATTGATGATATTGATCCATACCCGAAAACACTTTTAATGGGATTCCAATAGTATGATTGCCAGTTATTGCGAACGGAGTCTACTTCTCCAACGGGAACTCCTTCTTGCGTAATGTGAACACGAGTGTAATCGGTAGTTTGTTCTAATCTCATAGTAACAGTAGAGAAATGTCCTAAAATAATAAATTGATGGTTTAGTTGAGGTAAAGTAGAATTACTTAATAAAGTTTATAAGAAGGATACCTTCTGGCCAAGTTTTAAGACGCCATGTCTGTACAATCTTTTCATTTGGAACCTTCATAGAAAAGATATAAATAAAGATAAATCAATCATTTTAACGTACATTGTTGAATATCTTTTTAAGGACCTTAACTTACTAATTCCAAGATATTTCCTGTAACATTTCCCTCGAATAAGCTAAAAGTACTTCCAATATGTCTAAATATGTCCGGTCTAGATCTTGTCCAAGCTGCAACACGACCAGGGTCAAACAACGTTTCATAAACTTGCTCCGCTGAAGTTTGTAATTCAACTATTTCAGTAATGCTGGTTGTATTAATGATATTCGGAGTTGCGGATTTGCCAACATCCGATCCCAATGCAACTGGTGTTACGGACCGAGGGGGGGTTGATATTTGAGCAGGGTCAATTGGTGTAACTGCCCTTGGAGGAGTCGCAGGTCCAAGCTGAGAAGATTCAATCTTAACATCTTTACTATGAGCTAAAAGATATTAAAAGCGAATTAGCTCTGGGTATCACATCCTCATTTTTGAAAGTGAAACCAAAAATTTTTTTTTTTTTTTTAAAAAAATTTTTTGACGTACTCTCAACCATATCTTTCCCGAGATTCTTAAGATTTTCTTTCAACAAAGGAACCAAATGCTCGCGTACGATTTTCTTAATTGGAATTTTCGTGTCATTTTCCTCCTCAACTGTAATCTCGAACTACGGCAAGTACATGATATTGTAAGATAGGTTATATTTGTATATATATCAATATCTATCTCTCTATGGCAAGCCTTATTCTCATTTACCTGACAGTCTTCTTCTGATCCAGCCTCCAATTCAGGAATTTTAATCGTGCCTTTAGCTTCAATACCATCAGGAATATTGCCTAAAATCAATGATAATCAATTAGGTTGAAATTAAAAAAAAAAAAAAAGATTTATTTTGATTTCATCTTTTTTTTACCTTACCTGACCAAGTTAATTCTAACATTAAATCAATAATAGGGATCAATTTCCCTTTTCTTTGATTTAATTCGGCATCACCTGAACATTCTATCAAATCATTTGTTTGAACATTGATACCATTATTTTCAACTGTAAGATTAGTCAATTTCTCCTTCAAATATTCTTTTGACCAGCTCAAACAATTTTTACTGGTCCTATATAGTAATATATTCATGGATTACTTATTTTCGGACTTCTTTTTTTTCATAAATAACTTGAACATTTATCATTTACGTAAATTATTCTATTTTGAGTACACTTACCAATGCCTAAAAGTAAGAACATAACAGGTTGATAAATATTTTCTTCAAAACTGCTTTAAAATTTTGACCGATTATTTAAAATCTTGATTCTTACCAATTATTCACATTCTTCCAGTTACTCATTTTTTTTTTTACCAAAAGCTAAGAAAGAAGAAAGTAACCTAAGGAAATGTTATAGTACAAACGGTAAATCTGATCCGTTTTTGTTCCTTGCCTTTTTAAACTCTTTTTTCGGATTAAATGAAAGTTCTCGTTCTTTCAATATATTATGTGAAATTTCTAGAACATTCTACCTGTCAAAAAGTTTATCACGGGAGAGATACTATATCCATTATTGGTTAGTCAAATATTTACTGTGCGAAATTTTTTGGCCGTGTTTTTAATCATTTATTATATTATTATTATTTTTTTTAAAAATCTTTTAATACATAAAAATATTTACATTTTAAAAATTTGATAAACAAAACCTCTGTTAAAAAGGAATTTTTTTTTTTAAAAAAAAAAATCACGTTTTTAAATAAATACATATAAGTTAATAACCATAAGTAATTATTGGAACTACCTAACTTATTATATTACATTTAAATCAAGGGGAAAAAAAAAAAATCCATTCGTTAAATTATTTTTTCTGTTTAATTGACCTCCCCCCTCCCAAAAAAATTTTAAATTAAAAACAGACATTTATATATATTTTTTTTTAAAAAAAAAATTGCGTGAATCAAATAAATTTTAATATCTGTAATTTCCATCATTTATATCGTTCAATAATATTATTATTATTCCAAACATTATTTTCGCTAGGATTATTATAATTACCGTCGGCATTACGATTATGCATTAAATTATCATCCATGGAATGGGAATGATAATATTGTCGCGTGGTAATATTATCTTGTTGTTGCTGTTGTACATTATCATTATAATAATTATCTTTTTTCTTATTCATGATATAATCAATATCATCTGTTAGAGCAGTTATGGGTGGCAATCTCAGTGAATTATTATTTTTAGTTGGTATTAATTGCGGTGAACTAGTTAATACACCTTCATTATTCAAAAATGTAGTATTAGTATTTGAACGGGAAGTTACAGGCAATGAATTAGTTTTTGTTATGCCATCATTGTTGTTGTCATTAGGTTTAGATGGTAATTGAAAATGTACGGGTCTAGGACTTAAAGTAAATTGCTGAGTAAAGCTAGGTGTATCATTGTTACCCTTATTACTATTGCTACCATTGATATAACTATCTACAGATGAATTATTTTGATTTGGAGATGTTAATGGATGATAGTGATAGGATGAATGTAATTGTTTATTGTCAAATGAGGTTTTCGGAGTAGGTAACTGATTGGAATATGATGATGATGCAGTGGATTGATGATGTTGGCTTTGATGATACATGTTATGATTGCTGTCATCGCTACGTCCCATATAAGGTAATGTACGAGATCTGACCGGAGTTTTTGGTGGTGGACGATGAAAATATGAAGTTGCAGGAGGTTGAGTTTGTTGCGTCGTTATCGACGTTGTCATCGATGTTGTAGGATAATGAAAAGATTCCAAGGATGTAGTAACAGTAGAAGAAGAAATTGCAGACGGTAATGTATCAAAAGAATGATGACGAGTAGGAGGAAGCGAAGAATGATGGGTAAATAAATGAGAAGTTGAAGTGTTAGTAGAGGCGGTAGCGTAAGAAGATTGATGTTCTAATAGAGGAGGTAGGGTAGTCCTTCTCTCCGTTGTACGATACGATGATGGAGGTGGAAGAGGAGGGGAACCGGTAGTATGATGATGATGGTTTGTGAATTGGTTATTGTTCAAAGGTGCCGTCGTCGATGGTTGTCGATAATCATATGACATAACTTCGGGATTGGATAATCTTGGGCGTTTATTTAATGCTGATCGTTCATGATCATTGTTATCATGATAAGATGGAGACGAAAACATGAGGTCAACGGATGAGGATTGAATAGACTTATGTTCATCATGGGATTCGTGTTCAGAATCTTCATAATATGAGCGCTGACGCTGGGGCGGTATATGTGATTGCGAGTAACCTAACGGAGGAGGATATGATAATGCACCACCCCTTTGCCTAGAAGGAAACCGTGGATGAGATGACGCGTAAGGTGGGTAATACGTGGAAGGAGCAGCATCCATCATGTCCATTGAAGGATTTGCATGCGTAGGTGTTGAAATTGATAGCAATTGCATTGGATTACTTAAGCTCCTCTTTCTTTTAATAGAAAATTCCCCAATTCCATCATCATTCATATTATCATCTTCACCTTCAGCGGTATCAGATTGTCTATTATTGGACTGCGGACGTTTCATTTGAATACGATGTTCTTTACGAATTCTTATCCTTACACCTTGATCTGAAAAAGATCTTGATAAAAATGTTGACTCTGACATTCCGGGAAATGTCTTGGATGAATAAACTGTAAATACATCTGATATCGTTGATTGTAAATGAACAACCTCATCCCTTTTCAAAATGTATCAAAAGAAGTTAGTTTTCGCCTTTCGTAATGAAATACAAGCTGGTTGATATTTCGTACCTTACGATTTCGAACAAACTAAACCTTAAACGATAACGACCCTCGGCACGTACGGATATATCACCAAACACAAAAAATCCACCATCTACCAATGAATGCGAGTTAGTATGATTATGCGTTATTAAAAGTGAAATTTTTTTTTTTAAAAAAACGGTAAGCCTACCATTATTATCGATGTCTTTTAATTTGTGCAAGGAGGAAACAACGGTACCAGCAAGATAACGCGAAGAGATGGTAAAACTTTCACTGTTATCTGTTGGATGCACAAGGTTTGCACACATAAAATAATAAGGACTTTGGAGGAAATTTCTACGATGTGGCAAAAAGAAGAAGGTTAGACGGATCAAATCAGTTGGGGATTTTAAAACTCAGATTCAATCACTAATCGATTGGCCTATCAGAAATTAATCCGAATCGAATGGCTGTAAGATTCTTACTGAGCTTCGTCACCATAACCATCTACCTTTAGTTGAATAATTGGAGGTGGATCAACAGGTCTTCGATCTAATATCAATCGAGACAGAAAGGGTAAGTTTTTTTTTTTTTTTTGAAAATAAAAGAAAAAGTAAAAAGAAAAAGAATGGATTAGATGCATACCTCGTTCTTTCGAACTACATAATCGAGCTTGTTTAGGCTGTTGCCGTATAACAAGTTGATATTGATTACTGTGAAAAATATGGAAAAGTTTCGAGTTAATGACCTTCAATCATGGTGAGAAAGTTAAGAAACCCAAAAGACGTAAACTTTACCTATCAAGCGGCAGCTGACGATTCGACGTACTTACGAAATTGTACGTGTTTAATACCGTATTTTTTGACATTATAAATAAAAACTAAGAACTATAAAAAGAAGTTGATGAATCCAGTCTCCTTGGCTGTATTATTATTATATATATATAACAAATTATATATCTCTTTCTTAAATTATTTCTAAATTTCTTTTCAATCCTCAAAAATATTTTTTTTTAGGAATGAGCGTGTAGGTATGAAGTACGATTTTTTTTTTTAAAAAAAAAAAAATACGAATTAGTAGGTAAAGGAATGTTTAATAAGGTTTTTTTTAAAAAAAGCACGTTACTATATATATATATATATATAAAGAAATTTTAATAGGGTTGCTTTTCTTTAAAATGTTTATCTGGTCCTTGAATTCCTTTGATATCAAAAAAAAAAAAAAAAAAAAAAAAAAAGGAAAAAGAAAAAAAATATATATATATATATATATATTTTCGTTATAAATCTTTTGAAAGAAAGAAAAGATTTTTAACTATCAAGAAATATGAAAAAAATTTTTTTAAAAAAAAAGATATAATTTTTTCAAGTTTGGAAATATAAAAAGGAATGTCGGATGAGTTATGGTGACATCAAGGAGGTGAAATAATCCGTTGAACGTTGAAAAGAACTGAAAAGAAAAAAAAAAAAGTAATTTTTTTTTTTTTTTTTTTTTTTAAGATGTTATATTAAAAACAGGTTTATTGTAATAAAATAAATAAAAAAAAAAAAAATGGGCAAATCCGTACCAATTAGTTAATTTGGTAATAAGGAAAGTTGAAGTAATAATCTACAATAATATTGTACAATTTAAAAAAAAAAAATACAATATTTACAGTATTTGCTTGTATCATAATGGGAATGAGCAAAACCGAGAAATGCTTATCAAACTTGCAGAAGGTTTAGGTAATTTTTAAGTGAAATTGAATGATTAACCATTTACCCGGTATGTATAATCGAGTTTTCATTAAAAAATTTTCTTCGATTTACTGCGCGAACCGCACTACTTTTGGTTATTCAAATAGCACCTCTTTGCATTGGATGAACCGTTTTTGGTTAAAAAGTAATGAATTGTTTGTTACACGTTTGTTGAGAGCATTGGGATTGAAGTAATTTTTAATGTTTTTTTTTTTTTACAAAAAAACTGTGCAAATGAGATATTTAAAATGGAAATTTCTAATCACACTTACATTGGTTTTGACAAGTTTACATAATTCCTTGCATGAAGGCATTTTGTCATCATGCAGGTAAGAAACATTCCAAATCTTATCATTGGTTTTATTGTGGGGATCGGAAAAATTTAGGAAAAATCAAACCTTTTCTCCATTATGGACTTTTTTTACAGTAATCCGAATATATATATCTTATCAACCATTACGTTTTGAAACCACTAGAAAATCATCGACATCATTATTTATAACAAGTCAATCCAAATTCAAAAAAAAATCTCATGTTGAGAATCATTTCACCATATTCGATGCACAAGACATGTCGGATTTTAATTCTTTTTTCTTCACTCTTTCTCTTACAATAAGGAGTTTTATAGTCGGGTATTGTACACATGTTGAGCTACCAAGCATAATGTATTGTATTGATGACAATTCTTCTATGCACCTTGTAATCTTACCCGTAATCTGACCTTGTTTTATTGTTATTGTCGATAAAATAATGCATGCAATGTCTGAATTCAAATTATTGGATTCAAGGTGTCACAATGAACTAATGTTTCTAATTTCGTCGATTCTTTACCTGGTACGTTCCTTCTCGTCTAAAAAATATTTATCTTTATTTTTTATTTATTTTACTTAACTTCGGTTACTAAAAATTTCCTTATCTCGATATAGCGGCTTGCTTTGCATTGCACGTTCCCAGCTCAATATTTATTTAATAATATTTATTGCCCTTTTTATGTAACGGTTTACACGGATTTATCGCATTTATAATCATCTGGTAACGGAAATAAAATAAAAAAAGAAAATCTATATTTAGTTAATAAGGTAATCAAAAATCTTTTTGATTACAAAAGAATTTCCGGTTCTTTTTTTTTTGTTCAATTATAAATAAAAATTTTTTCAGAGTCAACAAATGACAATCATTACGAAAATCAAATTGGTATTGCGTAATATATTATTAACTAGGAAATGGAAACCATTGTAAGTCCGGAGCGAATAAAAAATGTTCAGTGTGACACGGGGTGACACAGGGTAACAAGTAACTTGTTCATTAAAAACACCGGCCGCAATATCATAAGTTTGGTAATTATACTATATAAACTTTATTTAGAAACATAAAATAGAAAAAATAAATATTTGTACTGTTGTAATAAAATATAATAATAGAATTTTCTTTAGCACATGACTACTGAATCAATCGAAGCACATAATGGATAATAAACCTGTCTATAGCAACACTCTTTGAAACATAGAGCCAGAGAGAACAAAACACCTGAGCAACACAAGACATATATTGCAAAGCAGCATGAGAAAGCCCAGCAAAAATAGCAAGGGAAGGTCCAAAAGGATGAGAGGTATGTCTTGAATGTGATTGTGACTAAAAAAATGTAAAATTAGTAACAGAAACTGAATAACAATGAGAAAAACGTCTAAATAACGAAAAGTCATATGGCCAACTTGAATAGTACGAATCCATAATAGAATCAAGGTAAGAATCTGCAGCAACAAGTTTCCAGAAAACTACAGTAAATAGAAATCTGCTGCAAAAACTTAACAGTAATGCAGATACACCAATTCTTACTAATAAATTTGGTGAAGCTGAACAAGATCTTTTGCGAAAATTTAGCAATAAGTTTGATAAATTTAAGTATATACTTTGCCTGTATGTAATGAGAAATTTCTGTTCATAACACTTGACAGGAAATGCTACCATTATTATCTTGAGAAAATATTAGCCAAAAAAATTGTCAGAAAATAACATGAATCCAGATGAAATGTTACCTCCAAATTTTCAGTAGAAAATAACATAGATCCAGGTGAAATACTGAAGAATTGCAAAGACTCACAAAAATTAAGAAAATGTTAATTGCATGAGTTTTCTCTGTAATATCAGTATATAGATTCAGGGAAGATAATACAGATATTACAGAAATATAATCAATTTTTCTCAAGATATATGAAATTTGCAACTCACTTTTCTTGACATCCATCATTATTAGATGTACTTGCTATATATTATCAATCTGCAAATAACTCAATAGCATTTAAACAGTTCAATGTTTATCTTACTAAGGTTATTTATGATTATTTATATATTAAGCTAATTAAAAGAAAATAATTATTACTACACTAACATTATAATTAATAATGAAGTTCTTTAGTCCTTATCTGCTAATAGTTCTATTGATAACTAGCTTAAAAAAACTCAAATGAATATTGAAAACTTAGATGAAAAAGATAAGAATAATGTGATTATACATATTTTATCCTAATTTTTTCTTCAATTCATCACAAATATGTTGCTATTCAAAACATTCTTAATTGTATACAAAACAAAAATAATTCTATAGAATAATCATAAATTATTAATAATTCTATCAATAAATTTCAAATTTCAGATATATTGTATACACATTTCCAATTTTATATTCAACAAAATGCATAGATTTTCATGCAGAATAAATTATTAAAGTTTTGCCTATTAAATACTTTAAATACTTGCTTTTATATAAAGATAGAAGATTTACACAATATACTTATTAATGGTATTTTACATTAAATTTTTAGATGAGATGATAAGCATTACAAGAAGAAAGATATATGTTAAATAGAGGTTAACTAATAATAAAATGACAATTACAGATATTTAAAAAGATTATTTAAGATGATTATACTTCAATGTGAATTGATAATTACTAATTAAATTGTATTTGACTAACATGATTATTTTATTAATAATTTATAATAAATGTTAAATTAATATAATTAATTTTAATATTATCAAAATTAATTAGCATTAAAGTATATAAGTGATAAGTATTTTACTAATAAAATCATGTAATTTAGTGAAAGATTATGCAAATTTTGGTAATTTTAATATGTAAAATGCAATTAATTATTAGATATAATTTAATTTTTTTCATATATAGTATTATAAATTTACATTAGTTTGAGCTTTATAATCTTATACTTTCTAATGCTAATTACTAAAATCTTTATATTGCTGTTTGGTTTTTTAATAAGTATTTTTAAAGATATTACAATCAATTTTTGATATAGCGAACTCTTGATATAATAAATTTTTTGAACAAATATAATAAAAATACTCTTGTTATAGTGAATTGGCCAATCAAATCTCTTAAAATC